TATATATATATATATATATATATGAACTGAAAACAATATTTTATTGATATATTTACAATTTTAAAGCAAATTGGAAGCCTACCAGTGCCTCAATCACTATAATAAAATAAATTCTAAATACCCATAAATTTTGGTATTTGATTTGGGGTTTTTTAGCATGGAAAATTGGATCTCCCCCTGCCCACTTAGCTCACAGAATGCCCACGGGCAGCATGGCTGGAGTGGAGCCCATGGTGGAGGAGAGTGTAGGCTGCTCTGCTGTGGGCTTGGGTGGGGGTTGGCTCCCTGCCGCTGCGTACACTCCTGGGGGGGTCAGGGGATCCATGCCCCCCAGATCTTTGTGCAGGGTGGAGGTATGTGCAGGCTGCCCATTGAGGGCTCCCTCCCCTGCTGCCCTCCCCTGGGACCTCCACAGCCCAGTGGGCAGAACATGGTGTGGCAGGGCAGGGTGGGGATGGGTGGGGAAGCTCCTTGCTGCTGCAAACTCTGCACTGCTCTGGTCACATACCCCCTTCCCACCTGGCGGCAGTGGGGGTGGCAGCGCAGGTTTGTGCTCGTCAGTGGTGTGTGGCAGGCAGGGGGCACATTGCCAGGGCAGGATGGAGCTTTCAGCAGCAAAGAGCTTCCCTGTCCAGCCCCACTTTGCCTTGCCATGCCAGGTCCCAATCACTGGCCTGCGGAGGCCCTGGGGGAGGGCAGCAGGGCAGGGAGCCTGAGCCCACAGCCCCAAGCCCCACACACGACCTGGCTGGGTAGTCCCCAGCCCCAGCCCCAGCCCTGACCAACTCCCTCCCTCCTTATGGGGGGCCTAAATCCCCACCCCCCAGCAGACATCTGCAGGAACTGCTCTCCAGGCTGCCATATTCATATATATATATATGCACATGGCACCCCCTGCCTGGCTGCCCTTTTTTATCACGCAAATCAGAGCTCCCCCTGCCCACTTAGCTCACAGAACACCCATGAGAAGCATGGCCGGAGTGGAGCCCATGGTGAAGGAGGGTTGTGGGCTGCCCTGCTGCAGGCTCAGGTGGGTGGGGGTGGCTCCCTGCTGCTGCATGCACTCCTGGGGAGGGGCAGGACCCCCCTCAGATTTGTGAGCAGGGTGGTGGCATGTGCAGGCTGCCCACCGCAGGGTTTCTGCCGTGCTGCCCTCTTCTGGGACTTCCACAGTCCAGTGGACAGGACATGGTGCGGCAGGGCAGAGCGGGGAAGCTCCTTGCTGCTGCAAGCTCTGTGCTCCTCTTGTCACATGCTCCCTGCCACCTGGGGGCACTCCTCTACTCCCCCCAGCACCTTGCAGGCTGGAACTCTGCCAGCCTACAAGGAGCTCTTTGCAAAAGTTCAAAATTCTCTATGTTTCTCCATTAAAAAGAAGAGTCCACATTTTTCTCTCTTTTCCCACGGGAAATGAAAAACTGGTATCCCTGATGGCAATTAACCTGTATGAACTTTCCTAAGGTAAAAACACAGGAACAGCAAATAATTTAAATTTCATGATGAGGTAAAATTACTGAAACCAACCTTTTCACCTAATCTGAAGTTTTTATTGGCTTAAGACCCAAAAACCATAGACCCAAAAAGCCAGTGATACATTGAAATGCATTTGAAAGCAAAATGATCTCTATTTGAATATAATCCATTTCAGGTGGGAATAAAGCAAGCCTACTGATTGTGTCAGGCAGTGGAAATAGCCACAGCTTCTAAAATTGTAAAAAATGCTGGGGGGTGCACTGAGGCACAAAGTAACAGCATACATTTGGACTTATGCAAGCATGTGCCCCTACATGTCTGGATGCGGCTGCTGTCTCTATGTATGTGTCTATTACACAAAATGACATGGGACTTCAGTTTCTTCAAACTTTCCATTACTGCCCTATTACTCAAATCATATGGCACCTTTTTATCTTTCTTTTGACTTTGAATTATCCTTAGTCTCTGTTTGACTCAAATTACACTTCTGGACCAAGGAAACCATCAGAAGTTTCTAAAGAAAGGCAGCCCTGTATGTTGTTCATTTTTATGGCTTTTTTTTCTACTTTTGAACTATGTGACCAACTGAATGGTTTTAACCATGATTTAATTTATTAGCAGATGTAGTAACATAACAATCTCATGTCAAAGATTTTGCTTCTGAAGCTTAAGTCTGAATTGGAAACCAACAAAAAAACCACCACAGCTTTTTAGTACTCCCTAACACAGAACGGAATCCTGTGTGTCTTCCAAAGAGCATGCACTAGTAACTCTAGCTCTACTAACCTCCAAGAAATAAACTTATTTTCTTAACCCACCTTTTTTAGACAAATATCTGTAACATAAGCTTGCATATAAGAACTGTCATAAAAGACCCGTGGCAACAGTGGGGAACAAAATGTGAAAGTAAATTTTCACTAGTGTTAGGAGTAATAAAAAAGAAACATGAATAAAAACCAAAGGCTATGAATTGTTTCTGAAAGACAAAAGCAAACAAACACTAGAGTAAATTTCCCCACCATTATAAATAAAACTTGCTGCATAAAAACTATCTTTAGCTCAAAGATATGAGCTTATACAAGATGCTCATTTGAATCATTTTAGTTTAAGCTATTTTAACATACGTATTAAAATATGATAATACCAACCATCGTTGACGCTAAGCATCCAGGAAAGCATAAGAAGATAAAAGAGATATTAGAAAATTAGCAAAACAATATGTTTTACTAGCAGGTTAAACTTTTTTTTTTTTTACACACCAAACCATTGCTTTCTTCTAACATGATGATCTCATATACATTACACAACCAAATTTAAGCACGTGTGTTAAACGTATGATTAAACAGTTAAACTATTGTTCCTAGGTTTTGCAGCTGCCAGTACCAGAGGTGATTTTTCTTGTATCAGATTAACCATACTCTTGCTCTCAGCTGTTTTGAATAGACAACCCCTGTGTGCCTTGTTTACAACCTCATCCACTCGAATGATATTCAATGAAAGTTCAAGGGTATGCTAAACTGGATCTTGTTGTTGAACTGGAGACTAAAATATTCAGGCAAATAAAAAAAAACAGAACAAAAAAGGGGATTGAGGAGAAAAAGATAATATAATTCTGGCAATGACACTGTTAATGTGTAATAGAAATAAAAGTATTAGAATTTTTCCATTATATGATTTTGAAGATATCTGACATAAAGTCTTCCACCAGTATACTGGCACTGTATTTCTGTTCACTAATATTTTATGAAGTGAGAGCACTCAGCATCTGCTGCATTCTTTTTATGTAAAATTCTGTCAAAATGTTGGCTGCATAGAGTCTCCTGATATTCAAAGTTACACTTATAGCCACAAGGTTTTCTCTTGGTATCCATAGATACCATAGTATAAAATTCTTTAAAATTAGTTATAAAATGGGAACACTGATCGACCCTTTACTGGCGCTAAAAGATGTTTGTGCGAAAAGTTAAGCAATAACATTTTAGCACTGGATCACTGAAAATCTGCTTGAGAAACGGTGGCAGAATGAGGCTGTTAACTACTACAGTTGATTAATCGTACTAGTAGGTACAGAAGAAGGCTAGCCAAGGCAACTTCAGAAGGCAAGTTGCAAAATTTCAGAAGGGAGAGCTGTTGGACAACCTTTTGGGCTCAGCCTTTGTTTATCTCTTTCTTAGATCTGAAAAAGGGCACTTGATGCCCCTAAACTTGTCCAACAGCTTTCCCACCAAACACTGGTCCAGTAAAAGGTATCACAAAAATCCTTGCCTCTTGCTCACTTCCTGAATCATCACTGCTACAACAGTGCTTTGATGCTATACAAAATTTCAGAGGTACTCTGGTTTGAATCCAGAGGGCAAAATGCAATTTACCACAGACCAGAAATTTCAAAATATAATTTCAAGAGAGGAAAAATGACATCTCATTTCAACATTCTCAAAATGTTTCTGAGGCTCCCTGAGTGATCTGGCACTTGAGGAGTTGGGTAGTTTGGCAAGCTAGGGCATCCGCTGCTTCTGAGCTTCCAAGGAGCCAAGAGTCTAGAAGCCCCCAGTTGCTTAAGTAGCAATAGCCTGGAACCTGGGGTTCACAGGGCTTTCAGTTTTCCTATCATCTTCCTAGGCAGGCTGCAAGTCTGGGTGGGCAAGCTGGCATAGTTCCAGGTACATTATACAAACTACTTCCTAAATATGTCTCCCTCTAAAACCAACAAGTTTTCAGTTTTTCAGTTGGAATTTTATCAAAACCAGATTAGCCCCACAGAATGTTTTGGTTCCAAAAAATCTATGAATTCTGAAAAAAGAAAAGATTTCATTGAAAAATTTATGACTAGCTCCTATAAGCATACTTAAGTGTCACCACACTCCTAACAGCACTCAGAGTATTGAATTAACAAAATAGGCTTAGATTCTGTAGGGAGCCTAAGGCAGATCGGTCCAACTCCAGTTGACTGACTCTTCCACCCAGATCAAAGTTCATTTCTTTAGTATAGTAAAGAAAAAATTTTAACATTCAGAGACATGTAGAGCACTATATTATGTCTGTTTTCATCTTTACCAGATGAACACCTACATGCTCCTGGAAACATTTGTTTAAATGTGAAGTAGTTACCTGCATCTCATCTAATTTTGACTGTATGTCTGGAGGGAATTCTCCTGCTCCACAGCTAAAGGGGTCAAATGGTTCTGCTCCAAAAAGGTCTCTTTCTAGAATGAAGAAAAACATTAAATCAAGAGTCAGTACCATATAAAGATATAGTACACAAGAGCTCAGCAAGATGACACAATGCATCTCTTTTTACAAGAACCTGAACAGCATCACTTCCCATCTCATATCTAACAAGTAACCTTTCTAAATATACATTTAGATGCCCGTTCTAGATTAGCTTTTCCACAGTTTAATTTCTTACCCTTTCCAAGAATACCAGCAACCAAAGTTTCAGTCTTCATTTCCCTTCAGTTAATTCTCCCGTGTAATTTTTTTTAGAAATTTTCAGGAATGATGATATCAGATCCTATTTGAAGTAAATTCAGGGATCTCTGTGAAGTAGTTTCCTGATGGCACAATCCAGGATCACTGGGTGGGAGTTTCACAAATGGCTGGGCATCAGCCATTCACCATATTTTAACACTGTGGTAAAGAGAGATTCTTGCAAAACATCTCTGGTCATCAAGTCAATTGGCTATTACTTCTAACTGTCAGATCAAAGAGTTTTTCATAAAGACAAACGGCTGTTTCAGTTCACAGAAGGCAAGGCCTTGAATTGTGATGCAGTTCCTTCAGTTACTTCAGGTATTAACTGAAACTTGCTATTAGCTCATGTGGATTTTGTTTAGTCTTAGATAAGATTAACAAGCAAGAAGCAAAAAGCAGGGGATCTGAAATGGAACAACACAGCTGTGCATCTCTCTTTGTTAACAACTTCCCTTGTACCATTTTATCTTCCTAAAAAAAAAATTGTTTGGCACTGCCAAACTTTTTTGCATTCTAGTAAAAAAAAAAAAAAAATACCTACAACGTTACCAGTATTATTTGGTCACTGCTACAGTAACCCTATTCTATACATGAGGTACCCTGGTTAATTTGGTTTATCTGTTGTCCCTCATAAAAACTTTTTCCTGCAAGTGAGAGAAGAGAAAGTTTAACCTTATATGTCCTAACTAGCATGATTGCTAGATTAGATTGCTAGTTAGATTGATATATATATATCAGATTTCTCTCTATGCAACTATGCTACACCCCCCCCCACACCCACCCCACACCCTCAGTTTCAAAGTATGCTAGCTTAAAGTTACCAGAGTAAGAAGAGCTATCATTTATTGACACTAGTACCCATTTTAGGGTTTACCCCAAAATGTGACCCACAACATTTATTCAGTATGTAGAAAATAACAGTCAATTACTGTTGACATATTATCAAATATTTTCAAGAGAATGAATATTATATATTATTGTTCATGCAATTAATGTTGAAATAAATTGTACAAGATAAAGAAGGTTAAGTTCATTTTGAAATCCATTTATACAACCAGACAAGAACAAGCTACAAAGATTTTTCTGAATCAAGAGAATACATGCTATGGTATTAGCATTCAAGCAACCAATATTTAAGAAAATGGTATAAAATAAAATATAGGAGGTACATTTATTTTGACTTGAGTAGATTGTCTTCATTTCCCATCGGACCTCTACTGAGTACGACTCATCCAAGGTTTATCATTCATTGAGCAAAGGAGCATTGATTTTAAATAAATAATTTAGTATTATTAGTTTTTTATGCTATCTTATTTTAAAATAAGTCTTTTATAGTTCTCATCTCCCATTACAAGCAACCTGAAATATCATGTGCCACAGCTTTTTACATGAGACTGCTTACATTTTCATTTTTAATGATAAAATCATGACTTTCCTGATTTCTTGCCATGAAAAACAACTGGTCTTAAGTATGTCAAAACTTCAAACAACAAATATTAAAATGACATTTAATAGCCTTTCGCCGCAATTTGAGAGCTATTTTAATGTTTTCATCCTACTTACAATTATTATTTTATTATTAATTATCCAGACTCTCACAAGCTGTGGTTACTTTATAGGCTTTCCAGTTGCAAGATAGGGCCTAGATTTCAAGGGCTCTAACCCTTTTACACAACTAGAATGCTATCCTTTGTAGGCAGACACAGACCACAATGGTGGACAGAATTCATCAAATAGAATAGAACTCTTGACCGTTAATGGGCTCTATAACATCTTTCTCTGTCCTATTCTACAACCATGGAAGTCCTTGTGTGCTGAAGCTCCCATTATAGGTATGGACCTCTGTTAAATGGAAAGCCATCATTTTAGGCCTCTTGTTAATGTTAAGTTTATTAGTACACATGGAAGTTTCCCTCATATTTAGTAATATTGTATACTAACAAAAAGACACCAGTGTAATTTATACTGTTTGGAAAAGCTATCAGTTTCATCATCATGCCTTACTAAGGCCTGCATGTAAAAAAACAAAGCAAAGCAAAGCAAATCAAACCAAGAAAATGTCTCTTTCATTTCTTAGTGTTTAGAATTATAGCCCTATATGATTTTTTAAAAGGGAAGTATCTGATATGAAGCGTTTATGATTCTCCTGGAGTCATTCTGATCTGAGCCCAAATCCTGCACCCTGTAGAAAGCAGTTCCTCTGAAGTAGTCAGTGGGACTAGTCAAATGTAAGGATAACAGCTGCAGATAAAGTACTTTAATGAGTAATTTATTTTCCTTTCAAGTGAAAGAGGTCTTTATTTTAGGGGTACATGGATTAGGATTTTTTTGGATACTGATGACCAAATATTAATGAACCATATTGGCTGATACCGATCCGATTGCTGATATGCAGTCTGGCAGCTTGGAGAGCTTGGCTGATAAGTCTGTTGGGAGAGAAGGGGCAGGGGGAAGGAAGGGACATAGAGGGCAGATCAAGGCCCCCATGGTGAGGGAGAAGGGGGGGCTGAAGCTGGGGCTGGGGCAGCTGCTGCCCAGCCAAGGCAGGGTGGGATGTGGGACGGCTTGGCTGAGGGATTGGCGGGGGTGTGTGTGGGGGGGTGGTAAACGGACGACAGATTTCTTAGGTAGAAAACAGGTCCATCTGAAGTCAATTCAAAGTAAAAATTGATACCTATTTTATTAAACTTTTTCTGAGGTATTTATATTATTGCATAAGAAACCTCTGAACAAGAGGAATAAAAATAGCAACTGCATGTTCACAATCATTTTGCTCTCTTTAAAATACATTTTAATTTTTCAAGAAATGATTGAGAGTGAATTTTAAAATGCAAATGTGTTAAAGACTGCTTATAGCAACTGCAATGCCAGTCAGATGTGGTGCAAGCTTTCACATGCACCGTCTCAATGCACCTTTATCAGAATAGGAAAAGGAATTTTTCATCTGGCTTTTCTTTGGGATCGTACAACAGCAAGGAGAATTTTACAAATTACTTCTTCTCTATAATTTGATAGAACCAAGAATCCTCTATACAAAAGTCATATATTTGAAGAAAATTTGCAATCCTTTTTTTCATGGTTTGTGGAAGTCTGTTGCCATCTGAAAAGGCATGATTATCTTATGCGGGCCTGTACAGTTTGTATTTAACCAAGGATTTTCCAAAGTAAAAGTTAGATTAAGGAACTAATCCTCATACATCATTTGGTTGGACAGATGACTACAAAATACTTATTCTGGAGGAGATTTCATTGGCACTGACCACTTGAACAACAATGCCATCACATTCAGTATCATCACCTTCTCTTGGTCTGAGCTGTTTCAGGAGCTATCTTGGATGGTAACCATGGTTTAGAACTATTATTTTGTTAAAGCAGTGTATGGAACATCTGTGAAATAGGTAATGACAATAAAGCATTTGCAAAGGAGTGTGCATTGCTTCCTAATGAAGATGCCATTTGCTGTGCTGTCTTCGTGGTCCATAGTCTATTCTAAAGATCAGCTGAAAAATAGAAAGCTATAGACTGAGAGCTACATTGGAAATTATGAATTACATTTTAAAAAATATGTTTCATACATCTTTTGGAAGATATTAGTATTTTGGTGGAAAGGTAAGGACAAGGCACGTTCAATCCCATCATTTAACTTTAAAATGAGAGAACAAGCTTTCTTTAGTGTTTGTGTGATATCTGTATTCCATGCTGGCTATAATGAATGAGAATTAGGAATTCACAAAGATCAGAAAAGAAAAGATGTGTGCGCACATATTTCATGTATGAGCCATTTGCCTAATTAAATTGCTCCAGACTTTTGGAAAGATGCTATAAGAAGATGCTACTGCAGCTGTTTGAGCTTTAATACATCATTAAAGAAATATGCTTCCTGCTTCTCAAGCTTTTCAAGGGAAAAAGTGAATTTATATAAAAAAATTCCTATAGCAAAGGGTGACCAATCCTAAAGGAGAAGAGATATCTTAGCATCATCCTCAAGAGACCATCATTCTAAGGAAGAAAAATAAAAGGGTCCAATTCAAATGGGCTTTAGCACCTCTGTAAACTTTGTAAATCTATGCTACCACCTAAAGCTGGGGAAAAAACGTTGAACATTGCCATCAAAATTCATTGACGTCAATTAAAAGATTTTTTGGGTGGCAGGTGTAATTTTGGGTGACAAAAGAGAACAAAATAGAAACCTCACAACAGTCAACAAACTGATGTTTAGAGCACACAAAAAGGCCCCTGACAGATGATTAAATTAAAGGTGTGATGGGATCTGATATGTGATCCAAACAATAGTGCTTTCTGCCATATGTATGGCAGGGGCTGCAACTGTGGATCCACCATCTGATTCCATCTTGCCATATTGCTGGTTCAGACGGAGCCTGAGATGAAGAACTCAGAGCCCTGACCATCTTAGGGGTGCTCCAGCCAGCAATGTGCATTGGAACCAAGGGCTACATGCACTCCTCTGGTTGGAGACCCCCCAAACAGCTGACCAGCACTCCTGGCCTCTGCAGCACATAGGAATCTTAAAGAGCTCCAACATGTTGTGGAGGCCAGGAAAACTGGCCGTATGTCCATTCAATTAATGGTGTGCTAAAACAAGGAATAAGCCACAGAGTTACTGCACAAAATAAGTGTATTACACAAATTTATCATAAAAAATATCATATCTTTAATTGAAAGTGTGGCCAGGTCACTACTTAAAATGTGATTACTCAGTTAATCTCATTTT